TGTGTACTTTTCTCTTTTCTGAATCCCTCTAAACTACTGATAGAGAACTTTTATTTATTTATTTATTTATTTATGTATTTATTTAGTTAGTTATTTATTTTTCCATCTATTAATTTTACCAGTGCATGAGAGATCATGCTTCTCCACCATATAAAGCTGTTTGAGCACTTTCCATTTAGAAAGTCTGTGGCCTTTTCTGGACATCCCTTTCTGTAAGACAGCATTCCCTTTAAAACTCTCCCATCACCACCTCGGGCATGTGAAGAAATCTGTCACATGACCTGAAATTTATTAAATAACATGCATTATTTTTCTAAAAAAATAAGATCCAAACATTTTCAATGAGATTTTTGTGATATTTCAGGTATAAATAATTTATTTTTCCACTAAAGTTGAATTTAAAAAGTTGTATGTACACGTATGATAAAATAACACTGACAGTTTCCATTTCTATAGCTTTTTTCCAAGCAGTACAGTGCTTTTTAGAAAAAAAATCGTTAGATGGAAACATTGCTGTTTAAATTTAATAACTTGCCATTCACACCTCAGTCCATACACTGCTTCTTTTTTTTCTTTGGAATTCATTGTTTTTGTGATGTCTTGAAAAACAATGTTTACATATATCCACCTGTTCGGTGTACATCACTTTAGCTCTGCCCACTCTCAATGAAGTTATAAAGAGTGTTTCAGCCTGGACTGTTTTTGAATGAGGCACGATGCATGGCAGCCAATCACAACAGAGGTCATTAACAAGTATCAACAAAACAGCCTGTTTCATTTTAAGAGATAAAGTGGTCATAAAAAATAAACAAGATTTCAGCGGAAAAATAGTACAATAAAAGTGTAGGATAAGGCCCTTTTTAACACAGTGTTCACAGTTTCCTGGATTTCCTTTGGCAATAATCCTGACCTCCAGCTGATCTGAGGCCAGTCTCCCAGACGGGCCTTCGCTGGTTAATCTCTCTTTCATTAGATGCTCACCATGTGCTGATGGTAAAGAAATGAAGCAGCTCCCTTTCAGCATAGGCCTCACCGCTGCGCCTTTTGTGTGCACAGGAATGAAGCAGAGTTTGGTCTGGCTGGAGTGACTGTGGCCTGACTTAAAATAACTATGGCAACAGCAAGAGCATTGAGGCCCTCTCTCTCTCTCTCTCTCTCTCTCTCTCTCTCTCTCTCTCGATTTCTTTGCAGGAGCAGCCGGTTAACTCTGCATCGCTCCCATTCACATTCCAGTCAGGAACGACCCACTTTATAGACCTCAAGCACACACATGCCCAATGCAACATGGGAACAAACCACATGTACTACACATTGCACACAAACGCAAAGCTCCACATCTACTCACATACATATGTATGCAAATAAACATATGAACATGAGGCATAACACTGCTGCAGTAAACAAGAATATTTTCCAGAAGTAAAATGGTAAAAAATATAAAATAAAATCAGGTTTGAAACGACTACCATGAGCTCAGTGATAAGAGGGAAGGTGAGACGCATTTCATTACTGCTCTTACATTTGGCTGCAAGCCCTTCAGGCAAAAAATAAACAAAACTATGGTCTCCACTGAAAAAAGCTGGGCCACTACAAACCACAGAATTGTAAGCAATATAATATATATAATATATTATATATATAAATATAAAACAAAGACAAAAAAGGAACCTAAGCACTGTTAGACATCTACTATGTAAGAGAATGCAACTCTCTCCTTCCTCTGACATCAATACATGCAGAAAACAAGTGAGAAACACAAAATTAAGGCCTAATCCCATTTCACTCCTTGCCCCCACCACTTAGCCCTTAGCCCTCCATTTTGCATGTTCACGTCTAGGGGTAGGGTGTCCCAATTTTTATTGAGATAGAGGGGTAGGGAGAGGTGTTAAGGCTACATGGCCCTCCAAATGGAGGTCTTTCAAAGGCACAATCCAAACAAAAAAAAAGAAAAAACAGCAAGATGGCTGTACAAGTGATCCAAGTAACCCAGATATGTAATTATTTTCTGTTAAAAAAATGATGATTATTATTTTAAAATGATCATTATTTTAGTTTAATGTCGTTTCAGTGTATTATGGTCCTTTTCTTCATAACAAGCATAAAAAATCACTAATAATATGCTGATGCCTCAGTAGCTGGCTAGCTAAATTTCCCATTCCACCTTAAATAGTCCAGCAGCTCTGATGCCTGAGGCGCCAGAATGTAACTGCTGCTCCATTTAAGGTGAAACAGGAAAATGTGAACAAGCCTCATTTTGTCTCAGACGCTCTGATCAAAAAGAGAGACACACTTGATCTGTCCATATAAGAAACACAACTAACACAACACCCCACAGCATACAGAAGAAGCACCTCACGAGGAAAGAGTGGTGGATTTTAGGTTGTTTTGACCATCTGCACCTTTTATTTAAATACATATTTACTATCTAACTAACTCAAGAATATCTAATGACTAAACTCAAAAGATCATTTCATAATTCTCTCTTTTTTGTGTCTCGTGAAACAACAAATCATCTTGCTTTGTGAAGGCCCAAACACAGCTCACAGTCATATTCAAAAGTTTGGGCACCCCTATTCAAAAGACATGTTTTGTTGATTTTCTAAATGAACAAAGTGAACACATCTTCTGTGTCCTGGAGATCTACCTTCCAGTGGAGTCTACTTCTAAGCACAATCTGCCACACCTGCTCCAACTGATAAACATCTTCCTTAATTGAAGTCGTTGATTAGCTGGATCAGATGAATTTGGATCAGAGTTAGGCAAGGGTGAGGCAGCACGTTAGACGCAGGTTGGAACTAAACTCGCAGAGAAGCAGATCTCCAGAAGGAGGCCTGATGAACACTGTTCTACAGAGAACTCACTTCTGCACAGTTTAATGCACAATTACTGTTTATTTGCTGAATTTACATTTTGGAGAAAAAAAAATACTGTAGAAAAGTTATGACACTTTATACTTTTTTTAATATATTTTTTCCCAATATGTTAGCAAATAAATAGCAATATTTAAATGTGTAGAGGGTGTGTTAGCTTATTTTCACTCAGAACAGCAATAAAACATGTAATGAACAAACATTTCCATACGACTGTACATATTCACTTATATTCTTGTATATTCTTGATCACAACTTTGGCTCATTAACGTCTATATCTGAAATTTTTAATTCTGCTGCTCCTCATGTTATCAAAATTTGTCTATGCACAAAACAAGGATTTTTCAAACTGATCACAAGGGGCTACTGATTTCCAATAAAACAATAGGAAGTGCAGATTTGTTTGTGAATAAAAGCATGAAAATGTGATATAATGAAAGCAATTTGAATGGGTACTTTTAGACATTCATCCAAGGTATCACTATGTAAAATGTCATGACTTCAGGCCAATCAGAACACGTTCTGTGGCATTTTTTCTGATCACACTAAATTGTGGATGGACATGAATGGGTAAAGATAGACATTCTTTTAGCAAACTTCTGATTAAAGGATGGATCACTTCTCTTATCACTGATCATAAGTAAACACTGCTTCTAGACAGAGCGTCACTATACATGGCACCATTAGAAACTTGCTACTTTAATGAAAGATTAAGTTTCACCCCAGCAAGAGAAAGGGTTTAAAATTCCTCACAATTTTTCAAGAAGCATAGAATCAGAGTCTGAGATGATGTTCCTGTACAAATCTCTCTAATAAACTCTGTTTCATGTCTGCAGGCAGTGCTTTTTTCTTTGACCACTTTTAACATCCAACTTGAGAGATTTTATCCGTTCATATCTACAATCAAAGAAGAGACCACAGAACTCCATCAGAGAAGAACAACACTGGGCTGCACAGTATACTGTTTATTAAATACTTAAAAGACTTATCACATACTAAGGCTTATTATTCAGTAACTGCAAAAAACTAATATTTTGTCTGTATTGCTCCATTGTACATCTTAGATGTATTTGTTACAGCGAAAAAGACAAGAACATTATCTACTAGTCAAGTCATGTCATTGGTGTGACATACAGAGCATTGATTTCCCAGTCCATATAGTTTATACATAAGTTGTAAAAAGGTTATTAGTGTTAGTGATAGTATGGTAACTTAAAAAACAGAATTCATTGTTTTTGTGATGTCACAAAAAACAGCACACTTACATAAATCTGCCTATTCTGCCTACAGCAGTTTTTTTCTTTGGTTGTGTTCGACATCCAACAATAGAAACAATATTCAATAGAAAACTTATAATCTAACAAGAGAACACAGAACTGTCCAGCGGAGGAGAACAACAACAAAAGCATCCCATGGTTGCCTTTAGCATGACAGTAGGCCTGCACAGTATACTGTTTGTTAATCGCTATTGCGATTTCGCAATTTGCAATACTGATATTACCAAAGACAATATGCAAATGGGGCTTGGGATCTCAATGTTGAGATGAGAGTTTTCATGAACCAATGTGTTGATTTAATTCAGATATTTGGTCAAAATGATGCAGGCCATTATTAACCATATCACATTACTGATCCGCCAATGCGCAAGGCGCATCACAATCCATAACAATGTAATTGCAATACTAGTATCTTGTCCATATTGGTCACTTCTACATGATGGATGTAACTGCCACAGTAATAAAGACATGCACATTATCTGCTAGTCCTGTCACGTCATTGATGCAACATACAGAGCAGGCCTCGAGCATTCAGAGTGACTTTCTCTTCATCTGTGGACTGTACTAGCTGTCTCACCAGGACTTGTAGGACACTCTGTGGAGCCCTCACACACATTCATGCCCTCACACACTCGCCGGAGCATGGAAATTTTCTCTGACCACGAATCTCCCTCTGAAACTTCTCTGCCTGTCTCCTCCATGCACACACATGGCGTGAAGCGATATATTCAGAGCACACAGCTTCCCTCAGGCTCTCTGCTGAACCTGCTATCTCTCCCCTTCTCTACTCACCCCATCTCTCTCTCCACTCTTACTTCCTCTTCTTCTAAAGCCTCTCTTGCATGGTACTTACTTTTAGTTTGGTGTTTCCGCACTCAGAGCAGTCTTGCCCCTCTCTTCTCATCCACTTTGCGTTGGCTGCTTTGCTCACTCTGCCTTCTCTTACACATTCACTCTCTGTCTCTGGTGAACTTGCGCTCTCTGAGCCACCGGGTTGTGCTAATGGTGTCTGTGAGAGTGTGTGTGTGTTGGGAGTGGTGGTGGTGGCGGTGGGGTTGGGGGGGTTGTTGTTGGGTTGTGCCTGTGCCTGGGAGGGCGTGCTAAAAGAGCTGCTCTCAGCCTCATGATCACACCCTCATTAACACAAGGTCACCCCAGGGACGAGCGAGATGGAGAGAGAGTGAGAGAGAGAGAGAGGGAGAGAGGGAGAAGAGGTAGGCAGAAAAAAGCTATGGGGTGGAAGTCTGTCAATCAGAAGGATGGATAGTCTGTATAAAGTAGTGGAACCAGACAGTCAAAAAAGGACTGGCTGATCTTGCCCAGTAAACTAGGAGTAACATAGACTTCCTGTAGTTCTCATGTTGGGCGTATGAAAAAAATCTTAGCTGGTATAGGACCTTTACATTATCAGGTTTTTCTAAACTTCAGAAATGTTGTTTAATCCCTTAAAGTCTAGGCTTATTAGTCAGGCACTAATCTTAGTAAATATTACCCAAATACTAATTATCCATTAACCACTATGAATTATTCAGTAACCAGTATGAATTATTCAGTAATCACTATGAATTATTCAGTAACCGCTATGAATTATTGAGTAATGACTATGAATTATTCAGTAACTGCTATAAACAATTCAGTAACTACTATGTTTTATTCAGTAACTACTATAACTTACAAAGAAATTACTAACAATCATTCAGTAATCACTATGAATCATTCAGTAATCACTATGAATCATTCAGTAACCACTATGAATTAATCAGTAATTACTGTGAATAATTCAGTAACCACTCAGTATTATTCAGTAACCACTATTAAATACTATTACTTATTTTGTAACTACTATGAATTATCCACTAAATGCTATGAATTATTCTGTAATTACTAGTTATTCAGTAACTGCTATGAATTATGAAATAACTACTATAAATTATTCAGTAAATACTATAACTTACTCAGTAAACACTATGAATTATTCAGTAATTCAATGAAACTAATATGTATGTTATTTTCATTTTGAGAACTGAATTGTGGACCCACAAAACAATCTTTAGAGATTAATGGGTTAAAGAACCATCCATTGAAAAGTTCTTCAGAGATTTAAATGTGGTTCTTCCATGGCATTACTCCAAAAAAAATGTAAATGTATGCTATTTAAAAAGTATGTGGACACCTATACATTGCACTGAATTTGTTGGACACCCCATTCCAAAACCATGGGGATTAATATAAAGTTGGACCCCCTTTTGTGGCTATAATAGCCTCCTCTCAGACTTCGGAGTGTGTAAGTGGGGATTTGTGCCCATTCAGTTAAAAGAGCATTTGTGAGGTCAAACACTGATGTTGAACAAAAAGGCCTGGCTCCCAATCAACGCCCCAGTTCATCACAAAGGTGTTCAGTGGGGTTAAGGTCAGGGCTCTGTGCAGGCCACTACAGTTCTTCCACACCAAACTCATCAAACCATTTTCTTCATGGACCTCATATTGTACAGTGGGGCACAGTCATGCTGGAACAAGAAAGGGTTCTCCCCAAACTGTTCCCTCGAAGTTGGACAGTTTGAGGGAACAGTTGTCTAAAATGTCTATATATGCTGAAGCATAAACATTAACATTACCCTTCACTGTAAGGGGCCAAGCTCAAAGCCTGAAAAACGGCCCCAAACTATTATTCCTCCTCCACCAAACTTTACTGTTGACACAATACATTCCAGTATTCTACCAGCATCCACCAAATCCAGATTTGTTCATCAGTCTGCCAGATACTGACGATACAGATACTCACTTCAAAGAACATGTTTCCACTGCTATAGAGTCCAGTGGTAGCATGCGTTACATCACTCTGGCCGACACTTGGCACTGTGCATAGTGATCCTAGGCTTGTGTGCAGCTGCTCAGCCATGAAAACCCACTTCAGGAAGCTCCTAGACACTTACATTTTAGAATAATAGCACTTACAGTTGACTGGGGCAGATCTAGCAGGACAAAAAAAATATAAACTGACCTGTGGCAGAGGTGGCATTCTATGATGGTACCATGTTTAAAGTCACTGAGCTGTTCAGTAAGACCCATTCTACTGCCAGTATTAGGTTATGGAGATTGTATGGTTATGTGCTTTATTGTATCAATCTGTTATTAATGTGTGTAGCTGAAACACCTGTACTGAATACTTAGGAGGGGTCTCAACATACTTAACGTACCATGATCTGCATCCTCCAAGTTGTATGACACTAAATAATTCACAAACAAACATGCAAAACCTCCTTAGTCAGTACTTGAGTGAATTGGCTATTCTGGTCACAATATTTGCAGCCCTCCACGTTGGACACAACAAATGAGGCCATGTATCAAAGTAATGTTTTATGACTATTACTGCAGTTTAGTGTGATTGACTGTGGTGCCATTAATAATTGGCACAATCAAGCTTTCAGTGCTTCGTTCTTCATTTGTTATGGCTGATGTTATAATTCTGTTCTGTTTGGTTCCTGTTAATTGCTTCAGCAAAGGAGCGCACACTGTGTGTCTTCCACAAGGAATTACATTAACTCCCTTATAAATCACATTACCTCTGCTAGGCACAATGTGCTTTTATAGTGCTTTTATCAACCCATCATTAAACAGACTGCAGAAGTGGCAGCTCTGATGCTCTGATAGACTATGACGCTCAGCCCAGGTTAAGGAACAGACACATCTGCTTGCTATTAAGACATTTTTTAGTGTTTCAGATTTGCTTCTATGGCTATATTTCGTTGAGAAGTAATTTTCCATAAATTATGTCAACCAATATATTAAACCTCTTAGGGCCCACTGGCGGGTCCGAAGTTTTTCTACAGACTTGTATAACCTAAGAATAACTCAGCCAGTTTGCATTGTAGTCTAAGTAGTTACTGAATAATAAGCCTTAGTATATAATAAGCCTGGGAATTTAAGGGGTTGACAAAGCCCTGCACTTTTGTAAAACAAGCAGATGATCTGGAAAACTATTTGAAAGCTACTGTGTCTATTAATCTTTGTACTATTACACATACATGATTAAGATTAATACTCTTGGATTTGAAACCTTGCTCTATAACAGGACTTTGAGTGTGATTGCATGTGCAATGCAATCTAAATATTAAATAATGGTCAAATCGGGCCTTTCTTTTTATCAAATACACAATGATTAAATAACAGTGCTAGTGATTAAAAACAGCCAGAAAAAGCCAGCGCTTCGGCTACATGCTTTCATCTGCATGCATCAGCGTAAGATACAAAGCAACAATATTCACCCATTTTAGTAGTCATCTAATGAGAGAATCCAATCAGCTTAGTCAATCAACATTAGGCTGCTTCACTGAGTATGGTAATTCTTAGGCAAGATTTTCACAAATGCGATTTCTTTAGCTTTAAAGTCACGAAACTATTACACTGCCCTGCAAAAGTTTGGGAGTACCTGGCTTTTCAAATAGTTTTTAGTTCAGCTGAGCAGAGGTGGGTGGAGTTGCCTAAACCCATACTCAAGTATACATATAGTGACTTTGTTAATGACTCAAATCAAAGTAATAGTAACTTCTACAACAGTAAGAAATAGGAAAAACAACTTAAAAGTATTGGCCCTACCCTGGAAAGATCAACCAAGATCAAGTAATGCCTAATGCTGATTTTACGTTTGTGTTGAAAAGTCCATCATGCCGCACCTCATAGGAACGTGGCCAACAACAGCATGAATCCACACAAATGTTGGCATGGTGACAGCATTACTATCAAAAATGGATGATTATCAGAGGACAGCTTTAGCAGTGTAGATTGTTTATTTAAGGTGGAAAACGCTAGAGGACACTCTGTAATCTTTTATGTTGTGTTGTATATTACTGGGCTCATCTAGAATTCAACAAAGAGACATTTGGCATCCATGTCTCTGCAAAAAATCAGCATCCGGTTAGTTTCACCAGTGTGGCCATCGGCAAAAGTTGATACAGCTGGGCATATGCTACACAACTTAAAATCCAAACAGATTTCGAAAATGGACAGCATCACATATAACATCCATCTTTAACAGAATTTACTGCTATTTAGTTGTAAAAATACATGCACACTAGACAATAAGGCAAGAAAGGGTAGGCCTACAACACACAGAACAGGTTTTGTCTAAGAAAAGCATTCAAAATCCCAGATTTCTCCTGTTATCATATGACACAAACAAAGCTAAACTGGACTGGACCAGTTTTTCCTTTATGCATGCACAAGAAGTATAACTTATAAAACTGGGGAACGCAGATTTTTTCACACTGCAAGATACTTGAATGTTTCGAGTCGTAAATATAAAAATGTTTGAAAATATTAAAGGGCCTCCAATCACTTCAGAGTTTAATTGGAAGGCTAAAGATTGACTTCTCCCCTCACACTACCAGATCATCCATGTCATTGTTTGCTTCTGATCTACCTGGAAAATCAAATTTTCAGAAGGAGCAAACTGTGTTGAAAATCGGTCAAAAATCAGGTAGTATAGCCCCAGCTTAAACTATGGTTGTCAGTGTCCAAAAGGGCATTATTGGTCATATTCAGTCTGGGTGGGTAGGATGGTCTTCCATCTCCACATCACTCAGTGTGGTGCTAACCAACATGGACAACTGTAGCTGATGTGATAGAATTGGTGGTTAGTGCTATCCTTCAAACGTGTTCATGCAATGATGTTGTGTTAGAGGCAGTTTGAAAAAAAGTGGTGGTTTTAAAGTCTTGCCTCAGTTCTTTGTATTTATCAGGAAAATGTTTGGGCAATATGACAATGAGTTCCAAGACAGTTTAATTAAAATATGCTTAAATACTTTCTAGATAATAAGCGGGTGTACAAACTCTAAAGTGCTGTGTAATTGTTATGGGTAAAATTATAATAGTCATCAAAACAGTGTAACTTAATTATAATGAAATTACCAGCAGGTTCTAGCTAAC